TCTTATACAGCTCATAATCATCAGAGGCAGGATTCAAACCCAGGCCCTTTGACTCTAGAACCAGTGTCCATCTGTACCACATAGAATCATATATACATTTGTAGGGCTGGAATGGACTTTAGAGACCATATAGTCCAATGATCTCATTTCATAGATAAGGAAGCACAAGCTCACATACATGAAGTGACCTGCCTAAGGTCACATACGTTATAATTAGCAGAGCTAGGCATTGATCTGAGGTCTCCTGTCTCTCTGTCCAGAAGTCTTTCTGCATCACACTGTCTCTTTTCCCCATTTATTTATTTATTTGTTTGTTTATTTATTTATTTATTTGCTTTGCTTTTTGGTGAGGCAATCAGAGTTAAATGACTTGCCCAGGGTGACACAGCTAATACGTGTCAAATGTCTGAGGCCAGCTTTGAACTCAGGTCCTCCTGACTCCAAGGCCAGAGCTTTCTCCACTGCACCACCTAGCTGTCCCCCTCTTCTCCCCATTTAGAACTGAAGAAACTGAGTTACAGGACAGTAAACTATTTGCTACGTTAACACTTAAAAAACCTGATCTCAGAGGGGTTAAATCAGTCAACCAAACCAACTGGTTGATCAATTATTTTTAAGTGTTGGCATTATTTGCCCAAGGGACTAGAAAAGTGACAAGAGATATTTTAGAAACAGACAAGGCAAGACTTGGAAACTGATTGGGGTGAGGACAAGTAGTAGAAACAATAAGGGGAGTTTAATGGATGGGCCTCAATTCTCCTGCCAGTCACTTCTGTCAACCCTACTTGAGTGGAGGCAGTTTGGGGTTGGGTAGGAGAGTTCCCTCTTGAAGCTAAAACCCTTCCTGAGTTCCCTCATCTGTAAAATTAGGGTGCTGGACTGGATTCCATCCAGCTGGAACAGTTATTATCATCATTAATAATAATAATCCCTTCAATTTGCATGGCACTTTACATTTCACAAAGAGCTTCTCCTCACATTTACCTCAGGAGATGGGTAGTATAATTCCCTTTATCTTCATTTCACAGGTCAAGAGACCACAGCTCAATGATGCCCCCAATCACACAGCTAATAAGTAGATGTGAAGGGACTTGAACCCACATCACCTAACTCCAAATGCTTTTTTCTCCCATACTTTACCACACTTTCTATAGCTCTATAACTCCAGGAGAAAGAAGCCCTTTAGACTTTTTTTATCTCCTTTCCATTCCTTGGCAATGAGTCAGTTCCTAAGCTACATTTAGCTAGTCATTTAGCATACCACACATAAATTTATTGAAGGGTTGGGAATCTCAGGGCATAAATTACAGGGACACCATATAGATACAAAGGCCACTTTAGATGTTAATACGCCAGGCTGAGGAATTTCCTCAGTTCTAGATTAATAGATAGATAGGTAGATAGATATATAAACAGAGAAATAGACGCTCTCTCTCTCTCTCTCTCTCTCCATATATATATATATATATTATATATATAATATAATATATATATATATATATATATATATATATATATATATATATACATATATATATATATATATATATGTAAACATATATACATATAATATGCTAATAAATCTCTGCCCTTCCTAGACCAGGTCCCCATCTCATTCTGTTTCTCTAAGAAGGCTGGTTTCTTTTCTTAATTCTATCTTGCTCTTACACTTCCAGGCAAAGGAGAGCACAATCCAGGGGATGGCTTCTTCCTCCTCTCCCTTCTCCCTTTTGCACCTTCTTCTGAGTGTCCTCCATTTCTTTCTTCCTCCTCCCCCCCCACCCTATGCCAACCTTAGTAGACTTGGAGTCAGGTAGTCTTGAATTCAAATCCTGCCTCAGACACATACTAGCTGTGTTACCCTGAACAAGCCATTTAATAATTCTCAGCCTCAATTTCTCATCTGTAAAATGGGAGTAATAATAGTGCCTACTTCACAGGGTTATTATGAGGATAGGATGAGATAATATATGTACAGTGCTTCGAAAACCACAAGGAACTATATAAATACTAGTTATTATTGCTTTCTGGCATATATGAATACTTCTCTACTTTTGCCTATCAAAACCTTCTCTCAGGAATTGGTCTGATCCATGTGTGACTTAAGTCTCTCCAGACCCCAATAGTCTTCTCTTTAAATTTAAAGATCTGTAAAGCCCCTCTTAACTTTAAGTCTATGATCCCTATGATCTGGTACTAGTTATTTACACCTTAGCATGAGTTTGAAATGTTACCTCTGTCAATATTATTACCTCTGTCTGCACTTTAGGCCTTACTACAAAATCCAGTTGTAACTTTGCCTCAGAGGTTGCTAGGGAGATATAACCGACTCTCTTGAGAGCTAATTGTTAAATTTTCGGCATGAGAACTTACACCTTAGAGACTGGCAAATGCTACAGGCCAAGACTTGATATATTATTTTGTTGATCATCTAGATTTAAGAAAATGACGAAGAAAATGTGAATAATTCAAACCAAACTTAAAAATGTGTTATGAGTACTTTTTTTTTTTGGTGAGCCAATTGCTAAACATGAGCACATCATTGCTTTATCTCCTTTTAAAGGCATTCTGGGCAATGGAGAGTAGGTGAAGGAGTTATCTGAGGAGTGGTGTTCTTTCTCTAAATCCTCGAATTCACACCACGCAGGTACACATTCTTTTTACAGGTAAATCTACCCTCCTCCCAAAACCATCCATCTCTCCTTATGATTTTTTTTTCATTCACCATCTCCAGCTGTGACAGAATGGCCCACCAACTCTAAACCCCCTAAGACTTAATAATCCACTGGTCTTCATGATCTCAACATGAGGCTCAACACCTTCTTCTTCCCTTCCATCATCCCCTAATTTCCCAACTTTCCCACTTTATGTAGATCATTCCATTCTCAGCTATTCCTGTTCATCAGAGTCCATGCATAAGTCAAGTGTAGAGGATGGATTTGGAGGCCTCAGGCACATTTACTCCATGTTTAGTTTGTCTTGACTTTCAAGTAGAGATTTCTATTTGAAGTTGCACCAATGTAATATACCAACAACTCACCAAGGTTTTATTAAACAACTACTAAATGATTAAGAAGAAGCTAGCTAGATGTCAGCTAGGGCATCTAGGTGCCACAGCAGTTGGAATATTGACACTGAAGTCAGGAGGACCTAAGCTCAAATCTGACCTCAGCCACTTAGGAGCTGTGTGATCCTGGGCAAGTCATTTAACTCTGTTTGCCTGTTTTCTCATCTGTAAAATGAACTGGAGAAGGAAATGGCAAACCACTCCAGTATCTTTGCTAAGAAAACTTCAAATGGGGTCATGGGGAGTCAAACAAAATTGAAAGGACTGAACAACAACAACGAAACTAGAGATCATAGGGGATGGAACCACAGACCTTAAGTAAGGAATATCTGGGTTTGAATCCTGCCTTAGACACTTGTGTAACCCTGGGCAAGTTGTTTGCCTCTCAGACCCTCAGTTTGCTCATCTGTAAAATTAAGGGATTGGACTCAGTGATCTCTGAGGTCCCTTCTACCTCTCAATCTATGATACTAAAGGATCCTATGAGTGCAAGGTACTATTCTGGATGCTGAGGAACATGATATTAAATGTATAGCTGCTGTCATCTAGAAATACACAATGTACTTACAGAGCCCTAAATAGGAATTCTTTTACCTGGGGGTAGTTGAGGGAGGGGGACAGTTAATAGCCTTCCCAAAGGTGTAGTCACATCAACAGAGTGGGCAGACTGTCCTCCAGAGAACCTGGCTCTCAACTCCCTTTGGGGTTGAGAGTGGGAAAGGTAAATCTAAAAGACAGGTGCCATGATCATGGGTCCTAAGGGTAGCAATGTGGGCCTGAGCAAAAGAGCAGGAGGAGGAGCAGAGTGGATAATCTTAATATACAAGGGTTGGTATGGGACAGTGGAATAGGGTGGCAGGGCAAAGGAAACACCCTGGATGACTAGGAAGATGGTGGTGCCATCTTCCAACAGACATGGGGAAGGTATGGAGTGGGCAGGAAGTGAAGATGATGGATTCAGTTTCACATGTTAAGCTTGAGTTATTGGCATCATATAGAGGTATCCAGCAGGTGCTTGAAGATAAAATTGAAAATGTTTTTAAATATCAGAAAAAGTGCTATCAAATGATGAACTAGTCATTTTGGAATAAGTGTTTGTGAATATGTATAAAGAGAAATGTGAGAAAAGTAGGTTGTGCCAAATTGTGAAGGCTTTTAAGTACAAAGATACAGAGGGTGCATTTTACCCCATGAATAACAGGGAGCCATGATGGGTTTTTTTTAAGGAGTGTCATGCTGATCTGTGCATCAGAGAGCCTACTAAATCAGTGACATGAAGAAAAGCAGACAGAAAATAGATGACCCTAGCACTTACTGGCCATGGATTTAACAGCTCTAACATCAGAGAAGTATTGTGGCATAGTAGAAAGTATAATAGTGTATAGCATAGTAGAAAGAACAGATTTGTAATCAAATTATCAAAGTTCAAGTTATTAACTGTGTGACTATGGACAAGTTGTAACTACTATGAGCCTTGATTTCTTAAATTCTAAGTTTGAGATAATATTTAATGATCTATCTCACATGGTTGTTATTTGGTCACTCAGTTACATCCAACTCTTAGTGACCCTGTGGACCACAGCATGCTAATACTGTACAGGGAGTTTCCTTGGCAAAGATACTGGAATGGTTTGTCATTTTCTCCTCCAGTGGATTAAGGCAAACAGAGGTTAAATGACTTGCTCGGGGTTACACAGCTAGTAAGTGTCTAAGGCTGGATTTGAATTCAGGTAATTTTGACTCCAGACCAAGCATTCTATCCACTGAGCCACCTAATCTCACATGTAAACCTTAAGGCAATTCAGAAATTTAGGTTATTAAATCTAAAGTTATGATTACAGGGTTATCAAGTTGAAATGAAATATGGAGGAAATAAGAGTCAGAGGATAGACTGTAATCAATGAAGGGCCATGAGAACGACATTTGCTGTTTAATCTATTACATTTATTAGCCATTACCAACAAAGGCAGCAAGTTGCCTTTTAAATAGTATAGAAAGAATCCATGAAAGATCATTTGCTGAAATGAAATGAGATTGACAGTATCAAGAAATTCAAGACATAGTTTCACCCATTGTTACCCAGTGCCTTTCCCTTATGTTTTAAGGAAACCATTACCTAGCAACTGCTTCCATTGCCTGCACAGACTTTCAGGATTGGAATCAGAGTATGTATGGCATAGTTGATGAACAGCAGAAATATACACTTGGGAGAATTTGCCGTATACCAAGAAATAAGACATAAGCAATGCAGCAAGGTGCTGTTGGGCAGACTTGACTTCTCAGATGAGGCAGTCTTCTCCATTAGCAATAGGTAGATTTGCGGATGCTGGATACATAGCTATTGGGTCGGCAGGAGCTGAGCAGGCATCTACTTGTCTTGCAGTAACTTGGAGAAGTAGGTTGATAGTAACCAATGCCACAGCTAGACGGTTTTTCAGAACCAGTCACACAGCAAGCCGGCTGGAAAGAAGTGGACTTACTTCCATTCCCTTTGTAGGAAGGGGGCACATAACGAGTTGGTTGGCAGGAGAGAGAAGTTCCATAGACTGATTTGCAGTAATTCTGCACAGAGCATTTGGGTTGGCAGCTGTTTGGCTGGCAGACATAAGACATGTAAGAAGGTGGCTGGCAATGAAAGGACTGGAAGGACATAGGAATGCAGTAAGTTTGTTTGTAAAAGCTAGGCATACATAAAGATGGCTGACTAGAAACAGGAGTGTAAGGAAATTGTTGGCAAGAGCTGAGAAAGTAGACAGGCTGATAGTAAGTTGGTCTACAGGACTGGCCTTCACAGCTAGTTGGTTGGCATGAACTTATCTGGCAAGGAGTTGGTTGGCATGAACTGGGCATGCAGATGGCTGGCTGACAGGACATCTGAGCACAAGAACTGGATTCAGAGCAGGTTGGCTGGCAGGAACTGGACTCGCAGCCTGTTGATTGGCAGTAAGCTGATGGACATGACCCAGGTGCGCACACAGCTTCCTGACAAGAAGCTGGTTGGCAGGGAGTGGTATCACAAGTTGATTGGCAGGAATTAGATTCAGAGCAAGGTTGTGGACAGCTGCTGACAATGCAAGCTGACTGGCCACCACTAGCTCCGTAGCACCTAGCACTATTACAAATGGGTTGGCAGACGAAACCCACGTGAGACGTTGATGGAAGACAAGTTAGTTGGCAGGATGTGGGCTCACAGCATGTAGGGTCAGGGCAACTCAAGTTGCAGCTAGATGGCTGGCAGTTTTCTTGGCAGGTAACCAGTTGCCACGTTTTGCCTTGGCAGGAACTAGGCAAGTAGATAGCCTTTCCATGGGTGCCACCATTGGAGTAGAAGGGTATGGTAGGTGCAGATGGAACAGGCTGGCAGGTTCTGAGACAGCAGCTATCAGGCATAGTGTTAAGAATTCTGTCGGTGGCTAAATTGGTTCAAGAAGTGAATGAACTGTGTCTAAGGTCCCTTATATCCTGAGGCTTTTATAGTCTATCCTCACTTCATATGGGCATGGTCTTGGGCATCGTTTCCTTGTTATTGCTTAGGTTCATGTACGTACAAACATCTGATTAGTAGGCTTCATTGGCCTCAGAGGTGTTGGCCCCACTTAAGCAAAACTTGTCCAGTGGGTTTGGAGCCTTGGCAGCTAAATTTGGGGTCAGACTGCTCTAGCCCTCAAACTTGGCTGTCCCACTTAGAGTTGAGTTCCTCAGCCTCACCTGAGGAGGAACAGAAGTTGAGCTAACCTCTCATCAGGCTGCACCCCCATTAATACCTAAGTGAGTGTCACTCCCTCCTCCTGCTTGGAATGTTTGCCCTTAACCACTGATGCTGCCTTGAAGCAAAGTACAGCCCCATGTACCGAGAGTAAGGAGGAAATCCAGATGGACCTAATGAGATGCCAAAGAAAATGAAAATTCTCTTCCTCTTCTTTCAGAACTCTTTCTATTGCCAAGATCACAGCATTTCAGAATTGGAAGGCACCCTGGTGGCCATCTAGTCCAACCAATACCTAAGTGAGAATCTCCTTTCTGGTGCAACTAGTAAAATGGCCATTGATCCTTTATTTGAAGGCCTTCACTGAAATGGAAGGCACTCCCTCCCTCTCTGCTCTAAGATTTTTCTAATTGCTGGCATTTACACGGTACTTTAGGGTTTACAAAGCATTTTACATAAGTTATCCCATTTGGTCCTCATCACAAAACTATGGTGTGGGTACTATGATGATCCTCATTCTACAGATGAGGAAACTGAGGCTGAGAGAGGTTACATGACTTTCCCAGGGTCTCATAGCTAACAAATAAATGCCTGAGGCATGATTCAAACTCAAGGTGTTCCTGACTCAATGCACAACACAATTTCCACTATGCCACATGCCTGCATTTGAAAGCTTATTCTTATATCGAGCCTAAATTTCCACCCACTACTCCTAGCTCTGCTCTCTAGAGCCAAGTGAGATCTCAATTCTACATTACAATTGCTCAGATTCTTGGAGACCTTTACCATCCCCCTTCTCTGGGCTTCCCTTCTCTGGACTATGCATCCCAGGTTTCTTCAACTTATCTTCAGAAGCCATGACCTCAGGGTCTTTTATGAGTCTTCTTCTACTCCTCTAGATTCTCCCAAGCTTACCAATGCCCCTCCTAGAATGTGAGGCCTAAGTGACTGAGTGCAGGACTCCAGGTTGGTCTGACCAGGCTAGAGTATGGTGAGATCATTGCCTTTTTATTCCTGGATGGGCTCGCTTTGAGTGGAGGATTTTGAAGTTTTGGGTTACCTGATCAACACCTGCATTCTCTTACTCATGCTCAGAGACAGCAGAAAGGGACAAGCTAATCAGAAAAGATGAGGCTGCTAAGTGGTGCCATAGTGCACAGAGCACAGGGCCTAAGTCAGGAAGATTCATTTTCTTAGTTCAACTCTGACCTCAGATACTTTCTAGCTGTTAAGTCCCTGGGCAAGTCACTAAACTCTGTTTGCCTCAGTTTCCTCATATGTAAAATGAACTGGAGAAGGAAATGGCAAACCACTCCAGTATCTTTACCAAGAAAACCCCAAATGGGGTCACAAAGAGTTGGACACGACTAAAACAACTAGACAATTAAGAAAGACAAGAAAGGATAGTTTAGTGTGTGTAATGATCCTGCTCTCTTCACAGTTGATTCCCTTTTCAGAACCTACCTCAAGGTATATCCTGTTTAATGTGACCTAATCACTTAAAGCACCTAGATGACACGGTGGATAAGAACACTGGGCCCAGAGACAAAAAGAAAAAACCTCAGTCCAAATCCAGCCTTAAATACTTGCTAGCTGAGTGACCCTGAACAAGTCACTGAACCTCTGTATTCCTCAGTTCCCCAATCAGAAAAGTGGGGAATAATATTAGCATCTACTTCCAAAGGTTGTGGTGAGGATCACATGAATTAAAGTTTGTAACATGCTTAGAACAGTGCTTGGACACATAGCTGGCACTTAATATTTCGTTAAAAAAAAAAAAAGAGGCACTACATAGTGAGAAGGGCTGTGGCTTCTCTGCTGAAGTGATACATTAGGGAAAGCATGAGGTTTGGAACGAGAAGAAAGGAGCCGGCTTTGAATTTTGGATTTGTTCCTTACTATCCCTGTGACCTTCCCTTATCTGGTTTCTGGTCCTCCTCTGTATAAGGCAACAGGACCAGAGCCTCTTCTCCTAAATGCTACGAGCCTCTCAGTTCAGCTGATGAGATAATGCCAGATCCAGATCCCCATCTCCTAGTGTTAGCCTGTTCTCATCATCCTTCCTCTTACTGTGTGACCTCCAACCTTGGCTATGTGTATATTCATTCTCTGATTTTTATGGAGGAGGAAGCTGTGATTTGCTGTGGAACAAGGTCAACCAACATATCATCCAGGGACTCCTGGTATTAACATTCTGACCCTCAGGACCTTCTTTGTGCATTCTTCTTAGGAGGAGTCAGTGGAGCAAATTAAATTTTGTCCATATCTTAAACCTTCGTGCTTCCAGAGAAACTCTCTGGACCCTGACTGGAGGGGGAGGGGGGTTCCATGCCAAGTAAGATAAGATTAACCACAGAAAAGAAACAGAGACACACCCCAGGGCCCCAATCATGTAACAACTTTTGCAGCATGTAACAACTTTTGCAGCATGTAACAACTTTTGCAATTCATATTCCTCTTTCCCTGTCCTGACCTCTCTGAACCTCAGCTTCCTCATCTATAAAATGGGGAGAATATCTAGGGTGCCCATCTCATGTAGTCCTCATGTAATTGATAAAACTTTCTATGGTTTCCTATTGCCTCCAAGATAAAATATGAACTCCTCCCTCCAATATGTAAAGCCTTATACAATGACCGTAACCTATCTTTTAACCCTTACTTCCCATTATTCCCCCTATATGCACCTTACATCCCAGCCAAATTATACTACTATGCTGTCTCCTGAACCTGTCACTCCATTTCCCTTCTCCACGCCTTCCTACAAGCTTCCCTCAAGCCTTGATTTCACTCCCTCCTTTGTCTCTTAGCTTTTTTTTCAAGAATCAGTTCAGGTACAAAAGAGGAGGAGGAGGTATAATACTAATAATCAGTAGTAGTAGTAGTAGTAGTAGTAGTAGTAGTAGTAACAGCAGCAACAGTAACAGTAGTAGTAGTAGTAATAGTAGTAGTAGAAACAGTAGAAGTAGTAATAGCAAGTTTGCAAAGTGATTAAAAAATATCTCATTCTGTTCTCACAACAGCCCTGAGAGGTGTTATTATTATCCCTGTTTAACAGATGGAGAAACCAAGATAGACAGTGTTTAAGTAACTTGCGCAAGATCACACAGCAAGTTAAGTGTCTGAGGTCAGGTTTGCACTCAGGTCTTCCTAATTCCAAGTCCAGCACTCTGTCCACTATGCCACCTAGATGAATCTTTCCTTGATCCCAGTTCTTGATGTTCTCTTCCTACCCATATTACCTTACAGCTACTTCTGTGTGTGTGTATTTTACGTCCCAATAGTAAGTAAACTTCTAGAGGGCAGGAATTGTCTCATTTTTTTTAAATCCTTAGCATATAGCACAATCCTTACACATAACAGGTATTTAATAAATGTTTCTTGAATTGGAGATACAGAATGAACTTTGATTATGCCTGTGATTCTGTATTCTATATATACATATATAATTATGCCTTTTCCTTCAAGGGATGCTACCTGTAGAGATCTTCTTTGGATGGACTCAGTTCTTAGAGACAATGAAGTATAGTAAAGTCCTAGACCTGGGGTCAGAAGAGACTTGAGATAATCATATTCATCACAACCATATCATAATGTTTACATGAGGCTCAGACTGGATAATGTATATAAATACTGTGCCATATAGATGTTACTTATTATTAATTCCTAGCTTTAGAACTGAAAGGCCATCTAGTCCCGCCCCATCATTCAACAGATATGATACTAAGCCTCAGAGATTGGTATGCCCATAGTCATGCATGGTCAGAGGCAAGATTTGAATCCAGGAATTCCTGATTCCAAATCCAGCATTTTATCCACTATGTTATTATATCTCAATAAGGGATATATAGAATCCTTATGAAGAGTGTTTCCTAGGAAAGGAAGTATTAGAACATTATTCTCCTATGGACCAGGCCTAGTGGAACTTCTTATTCCTTTCACTACCCTTTTATTGTAAGAAGTCTTTTCCAAAGCCCCTGCCCCTGATGCCACTGACCTAATTCCAGTTGTATGGCTCCATTCAAGGTTGAGGAATAACGTTAAGTGCATGGGAATAAGTGACCAGTAACGATAGTAATATTTGGCCAATTTTATTTGAAAACAAGAGAAATTTCTTATATCTAAAAGAACATCATGGACCTGAAATACAGGAAACAGGCTTCAAGGGACCCATGCAGACCAGAAGAAGCTTCTGAAATGAAAAGGATGGGCCAGGAGACAAGAGACACCATTCACCTCTCCATAGTTTGATAGCAGCCTCTAACAAGGATACCAGATGCACTTGTTTCCATTCCTAACTGGGTCTTCATCTTGAGTGTTAAATCACATACAGAGCTGTTATGGCATAAGCAGAATAGGGTAAGGGATGGAGGTGGGGTTCAGAAATGCCCTAACTATTCACCCAACCTTTGTGGGGCCAGAGGCTTTTGTCTTCATAGATGAACCTTGTTTCCTAATGCCTGGATCTGCAGGATCTAGAGCAGCAGCCAGATGATTTGCCGTCCTCTGCTTTGCCAGCAGCTGACTCGCAGGTGGTTGGGCTGGTGGGAGTGCAGGAAGTGGTCACTGAGCATGTCGGCTCACTAGGACTAGCCTCTGAGCCAGCTGGTTTGCAGGGAGTGGACTCAGAACCATCTGGCTGACTGGAAGTGCACTTTTCACAAGTCGGCTTACAAGGGGAGCTTGGCTCGGAGCAAACCGGCTGACAGCATGCCGGCCGAGAAGCAACGGAGGTGACACAGGCTGGTCTGCGCAGAAAGGGTAGGGAGTAGCTTGGGCGGTAGCAACTTGGGCGATAAAGAGAAGTCAAGTAAGGCTGTCTGCAGCTCAGAGGAGAGGAACAGATGGGACGGTAACAAGTGGGGCGGTAGGAAGTAGAGGCAATGCAAGGTGGCCTACAGGAACTGGGCACATAGAAAGTGGGTCGGGAGCAAGCTGGCCGGCAGACAACAGAGGCAGAAGACCCCGGCTGGCAGCAGAGTGGTTGGCAGGAGGTTGGTCTGCAGGAAGTTGGCACACAAGTTGGTCTGCAGGAAATGGGTTCACAGCAAATTGACTGGCAGCGTCTTACTACATAGCAAGATGGTTGACATGGACTGGGCAGGCAGACACTTTGTTGGCAAGGGGTGGGTTGACAGCAGGCTGATGGGCAGATGCTGGGAATACAACAGGAAGGCTCTTGGGCTACACAAGTTGACTCACAAGGACTGGGTAGGCAGCAGATGGTACGATGGCAGACAGGTTCACAGACCAGTGTCACACAAGAAGCTGGCTGGCAGCAACTGGACTCAGAGCATATGGGTGGGTAGCAAGCAGGCACAGAGCAGACTGTTTGGCAGCAAGTCGGCACAGAGCAAGATGGCTCACAAGAACTCGTCTTACAGCAAATGGGCTGGCAGCAAGCTTGTACAGAACAGACTGGTTGGCAGCAAGTGGACACAGAGCAAGATGGCTCACAAGTACTGGTCTCACAGCAAACAGGCTGGCAACAAGCTTGTACAGAGCAGACTGGTTGGCAGCAAGTGGGCACAGAGCAGATGGACTGGCAGCAGCTGGGCTCACAACAGGATGGTTCACATGGAGTGGGCTCACAGCAGACTGGCTGGCAGCAGCTGGGCTCACAACAAGAGGATTCACAGCAACTTGGGGCACAGCTTGAGGATGTGCTGCATGGTTCTTCACAACTAACTAGCTGCCATGTTGGACTTGGGCAGGAAGTGGCCAGGCAGATGGTGGGACTTTCACAGCTCACCTCTGATGAGCAGATAGAGATGGTTGGAACCATGGCACAAGTCCCAGAACAGCAGCTGCCAGACATCTTGGAGCTACTTATTTCTGTAAGTCTCTAAGCTGCAGGGAGGGAGTTACCCAAGTCTGAACATTGCCTTGTGCCCTGGAGTTTTTATATCCCCTAAGTCATGGGTGCTTCCTCAGGACGTGACATCCTTTCCTTGTTGTTGTTTGGATCAGTTTACACAGAAACATCTTATTAGAATGTTTTTTGTTTGCAGAACAGTTGCTTGTCTCCTTATTAAAATGTTTCTGTTTATTTTCTTGCTAAATGTATGTTCTTATATTTGGGGGATCTCCATGGGGCCCTTTGTTTTATGGGGCTGGTTTAACTAGCCTGTTATCATGTCTACATATGTATACATAGATATATAATAAGTTCCAATATTTTTACAAATTCTCTGTTTCCGGAATGTCCCAATTTATTCCTGTGGAGAAAAATATTGCTTGTGGTGGTTGGACTAAATGGCCTCTGTAAAACCGTCCAACTATGACTCTATGATACTAGACAGATAGATCTGAGCTCCTCGATACTACAATTTGTTTGGCAACAGCTAGTCTCTGACTTTTGTGTCAAATGAGCTATACTTTTACACTAAGAGGTTTACAAGTTGGGCCCAGAAGAAGCACTGAGAAAATTTATCTCCCCTAACCTTCTTTGAGGTGACAGCTAGTGACTCAGTGGATAGAGCACTGGGCCTGGAGTCAGGAAGAGCTGAGTTCAAATCCAGCCTCAGACAATCACTGACTCTTTGATGCTGGGCAAGTCACTTAACCTCTATTCGCCTCAACCCACTGGAGTAGAAAATGGCAAACCCACTCCAGTATCTTTGCCAAGAAAACCCCATGGACAGTATAGTACATGGGGTTACGAAGAGTTAGACATGACTGAATTATGACAACAATCCTTCTTTGAAGATTATGGGTGTGGAGCATCACCTTTGTTATCAGACGTGGTTGATGTTATAATTAGCTTTGATAAACTGGGTTTTTTTTTATTCTTTGTTATAAAGAATGACTTGCTCAGTAGGAGACAAGATATAGTTGGAAATGAAGATGATAGGAAAACAAAAATTTATCAATACAATTTTAACAATAGATTCACATGCTCACAGATTAAAGATCAGCTACTGCACTCCTTCTATTCTACTAATAGGTGAACTGGGGCCCAAAGAGCACATGGGGTTACAGAGGCCAAACTCTCATCAAGATATCTCCCACAAAACCAAGCATTCCTGATTCCACCCCAGGACAACCAAAGTTCTGAAACCACCCAGGATTGGTCAAGCCCATTCATTTCCCCCACTCATAGTAATCACTTGCCAAGACCTCCCTGCCTTCCATTCAAACATCCTTCGGATTCTCCATCTCCTTCTTATCCACTTGTGAAACTGACTGGCTCCTAACTTTGAGAGTCAGAAAAGGAGCAAAAGGTAACATCAAAAGACATTAGGCCATATATGTGCTCTCTTGGTGTTTGTGTCTCAAAGACATGTATCAATGTAGAATTACCTCTGCTGTTATAATAAGCTGGAGTGAAATGAGAAATAAACTATGTGTTTCCTTTTTTAAACTACCAGAGTCAGGTTTTCTGCCTCATGAAGAAGTCAACGTCTACATCTCAGTATGGCACTGAACTTGGCTTCAGGATGACCTGGGAGTTAATCATGCCCAAAGCTATGAGAGACTTTGAGAAAATCACTTAAATTCTCTGAACCTCAGTTTCCTCATCTGTAAGATGAGCTTAATTCTTGCGCCTCCCTTACAGAGTTGATGGAAGGAGAAGATGAGATAATGCACATTCAGTGATTTCTAAGCTTCCCAGCACTATATGAAGGTAAGCAATTGTGATGTGTTATCATTTCAGGGCAGAACTCAAATTTTCTCTCATGAAAACTAATAAGCCTTTTGGTTCAACTCTGCAAAGTGTTGTGCAGCCTTAGGAATGTCTGTTGCCCTGTTAAATCTTCCCTCTATTTCCACCTCTACTTCACTTATCACACAGGGTGTCTCTGGCAGACATTTTTAGCAGTCAGTCAGAATACTCCAAATGGAAAAATCTCCTGCTTTCCTCCCCAAGACACCCTCCTCCCCTGTCCTAATCCATATCACTGGAAAATAGTGTGGAGGTTTATCCCTCTAACTAGAATCTTGGGAGCAGTAAGAATGGATTTCATGGATTACTTTGTATACATTGATATTTATGAACTTTATACTTATGCTATATTTGTACATGTACTTCTTGGTCTCCCTTATTAGAATGTAAGCTCATGGCATGTAGAGTCTGTCTCTTTCTTTGTACTTGTTTCCCCAGTACCACAGTGCATGGCACATAGTAGATGCATAATAAATACTTGTTGATTGATTGAAGACTAAAGACCTGCTACATGAGGCCTGATTCACATAGATACCTGGGAACTGAGATAAACGTTCAAGTCAGAACTTCTCTTTTCTTTCTTCATTAATCAAAAATATGTTTGTAGGAGGGTGAGATGTGGTCATAAAAAGGAATGAAGTTTCTGGCCCACAGTCCAGTCAAACATAATGATGTTAGATGCTGAATTTGTTTAATTCTGCCTAGCTAAATCAGGATCTACTTAGCTATTCAAGTCTATTATACAATGAAGATCACAAAGGATATAGCCAATATAGGGGATCCCCCGATTAGCAATATAACAACAGATTACTTTGTTGTCATTCATTCAAAGGGAGTCCCTTTCCTGGGAGCCAAGAATACCATAAGCTAGAGAACCAGGAATGTGGCACTGTGACTCTTGGGTGTAGAAACCTTTACCAGGTTCATTCCACAAAAACTCTCTGACTTGGTCCTTGGTTTACTTCTTGGGAATTTGAGAATCTGGCTTTCATATGAGCAGATCCCAAACACACCAAAGCCAGAGAAGAGACCAAAGAGCAGTATGGAAAGAAAGGTTACAGACAACCTCAGATCATATACCCAATATGGCTGTTTCTTGGTGCTATCTGGGATGAAATGGGGTAATATCACTTTGGAGTTTGCCTGGAAAAACACACACACACTCCACCACCACCACCATCACCACCACCACCATGTACCCAGGAAAAATGGAGAGTCAGTTTTGTTGAATTTAATTCAATTCTGCATTTGTCATTGTCATGTTCAACTAGGAAAGCCACCATAGTGCAATGCAAATTGGGGCCTGGATTCTTAAACAGTTGCTGTGGTTTCTAATATATCTAACACTGGGCAAGTCACTTAACTTTTTGAGGCCTCCATCTCCTTATCTGTAAAATGAGAGAGTTGAACTGAATGAGCTCTAAATCCCTTCCAATTCTTAATCCACCATCCAGTGACTTGAGGTTTCTTTTTTAAAAGCTCTTTGTCCAAGAGATGAAGAAAAGAAAGAGAAATTCTGACTCTTTTCTTTGGCTCAGTTCCAAGACACCTATCAGAATCAGGCCACCCCTGGCCAGTGTATATGATCACTTGTAGCTGACTCTAGGCTTTCAGCAAGTAGGATTAACAAAAGGCCCACAGGACAAGAAAACTCATGACACACATTGGAAACCCTGCTGAAAGACAAGTATCTGAAAGAAAGGCATAAGAATGTCAAGGACTCTCTTAAAAAAAATTATTGATCCACAAAACCTTGCATCTGGAACCTCTACAGCTAAAACTGGCCTTCTCCTAAATGAGGTCTTCCATCCTGGCCCTACCAGACCTTCACACTCCCTCAGAAACTTTAGGCCAAATGTTCTCTCTCCCTCACGCACTTGCATGGAGGGAATGATCATTTCTTTCTCCACCACTTCACGCTTCTTGCCTGGATCCACCCAATACACTGAAGGAAGAGCCAAGAAAACCAATTGAATTATGCCAGAATGCTTGAGTTTATTAAAAGGTTAGCAGAGAAGCCTATTTGCATCTCAGAAGCAGCAGAGAGGACAGACAGGAAGTACATCCCAAAGACACCTTGAAAAGAAGGATGTCCTGAAATGACAAGATATTGAACAAGTTCATGAGAGACAAGACTTGGTAAGGAACCCTTATTTTTCTTTCTTTGGATTCCTCTTTTGAAATCGTTTTGGTTTTGGTTTCAGATTTCTCACCAGATAAGTCTTTTTTTTTTCCCTTAACACCTTGAATCTCTGGATTGGATATTTGGTTGCATTCCTTCTCTGAATGGACACGTGACAAGATCTACAGTGGGAGGGACGACATTGTCTTTGGATTGAGTGCTGTCCCAGGCAGGAGGTGGGATAGGGAGGGGAGTCTCTCCATCTGAGTTCTTCAAATAAAGATATGGTCTCTGGGTTCCCTCCAGACGTCTTCATTTCGTGTCACACACAGGTGTTGGTTGGCAACAAACTGGCCCACAGCAGCACCCACAGCACCCGGACCCGCCACAGCAACCTGACCCGCAGCAACCAGAGCCGCACCCCCCACAGCCAGAGCCACAGCAGCTGCTTCCGCAGCCTCCGCAGCCACCGCAGCCGGAGCCACAACAGTCAGAGCCACCACAGCTGGAGCCACCGCAGCCGGAACCACCGCAGCAACTGGACCCACAGCAGCCACAGCAGCTGGGTTGGCAGCAGCACATCTCACAGCATTCCCCGGACTGGTCCTGTTGGCAGCCGCCACAGCAGTTGAAACAGTCCGTGGGACAGCAACCCATGGTCCCAGCTGGTCACGTCTCAGCTCTGCAACGAAGCCAGAGTTCCCCAAGTCTGACCAGAGCCTTCCTGCCCGTGGCTTTTATATTCCCTCCCCAGAGGGTGTTGGCATGAAACACAGGATGTTTTCTTTGTTATTATTTGTGCCCATTTCCAGAGGAAGGGCTTATTAGCTGGCTGTTTATTTTCCAGGCTAGAGTAGCTAAACTCATAAAAGAAAAAAAATGGGGAGGGAGAAGGGGCTCATACTTGGTCTGCTGCTAAATTAGGACTCACCCCAACTGTTATTTGTCCAGGGAATAAAAATACATCTTGTGAGAGACCTATTATCATCACCAGGTAAACCTCAGCCATCATTAACCATGTGTTGATCAGAGGTATGTGAAGCCAGCAGAGGCACACTCCACTCCCGCATGCTCATTGGTGAGCAACTAGGAGCCAAAATAAATGACCCAGTTATTTTGAGCTGTTGGTCCATCAGAGAGCAGCCAGGAAGCCAAAAAGTTGAGTGTTCTCATCCATCTGGTCGGTGAAGGGCTGCCGACAAAGCCAGACAACAGAGCTTTTCACTTGGCTGCTCCCAGAGAAGAAAGTCACCTTCATTACCAGGTAACTTTTGCATGGCAAATGCATGCATGTGTGCGTGTGTGTGTGTATCTCTGTGTGTGAGCATGTGTGTGTGGCGTCTTTGCATATCTGGTAGCTGCTGATGAGCATGAGTGAGGAATGGACACACCCCCTGTGAAATGAAGAGACTCATTGTAAAACACTGTGGGCCTGGGTGTGACATTCTTGGCTGCATGGCACCCCCTAAGAAGTCACACTGGGTTTCTATGTGAGATTCCCAAGCATTGCTTACAGCTGGCAATGCCTTGAGTAGAGAGGAACAGGAATGAGAAGAGAAACAAAGACTTGTTAATAAGGGATGGCTCTCTGGAGAGTGAGGGAGCAAACATTAGAGAGAACTTAGGGAATATAAAAACAAAAGATATCAATAAAAATATATATTTTAGAAGAAACAAAGAAAAGAGGAATGGTTGGAAATGGGAAGGCACTTCAGGACCCAAAGAACTGTGCCTGGCATTGTATTCTAGAATTTTTTATTGCTGCTTTTCACATTTACTATAGTTATTTCCACTTAAACCACTCCCCAACACACAATGAACCTTTCTTTGTAACAAACAAAAAAATTCATGCAAAGCTATGGGACACAGCAACATCTTACAGTATATAACACATTCCTCACACTCATAGTCCTCCCCTCTCTCCCAAGAGTATGAAGGTATGTTTTCTTATCAGTTTTCCAACACCAAATATCTTTCCCTACAACTCAATTGGAGTTCAACTACCATTGCTTGTTGAGAAAAAGTCAGTGTTTAGAAGTCTTCTGAATGAAGGAAAGTATGTAAGGTGTCATCCCTAAGAACAGACTTTGGGAATTAGCTAAGTTTCACAGCAGATTCTTTTCTGACTGTAAAATTTGGTATACTCTGTTTTCTCAAGATATGGCATTAATTCATCTTTTCCAGTTTAAGGCTTTGAGATTTCATCACAGTCTAGCAGTAAAAAAGATCACCTGCCCCCAAGCAGCTGGAATTAGCTAATGCAGCCTTTTCTATAGGCAAGTCAGCCTGATCTCAATCAAGAAACAAAGACACACCCTCCCTCTCCCTATCCCCCATTAAATTTCTCTACTGGTGAATTTCCCTTAAGTCCCAAGCTGAAAATGCCCACTCACCCCCACAAATTTTACTGGAGCTGTTCATTGAGACCTCTCCTTTGCCCTTATGTTATTCTCCCTTTTATCATAGTTGCCTGCACGTATATTGTATTCCTATTCCCAAGCTCTTTGAAGGCAGTAAATGTATCATGTTTTTCATCTTTCTGTTCCCCAGCACAGTGCTATGAAGATATTAGGCACTTGATAAATGTTTATTGAATAGTAACAGAATTGAATTCTTTTGTAGAGAGACTTGGAGGCAGAGAAAGCCCTTAAGGTCACACAAGGAGAAACAAAAATATCTTTGGAGATGATCTAGCCCCAATCTATCATTTTACAGATGAGGAAACTGTGGCTTAGAAAAGTTAAGCAATTTAACCAAGGTCTTGGTAAGGAATAGCACACAACATTCCCACCTGCTCATCAGTGGCCTACTGGGAGCCAAAATATCAGTTATTCAGGCCCAGAATTTGAAACCTCTGATCAGAGTTCATTTCCTCTGATTCCAACTCCAAGAGTGCAGCCACTGTGCCAGGCTGCCTTTCTAGAGAAGGCTCAAGGAGAAAATTAGGACCCATTTGCTTTCCACAATCTGACCTTGAGCTAATGAGCCAGCCTTGTCATCCCTGGCAACTCACATGCTTGTCAAGTCTTCAATAGGCAAGCACTTGTTATACACTGATATACACTCATTGTCACCAGACAGACACTGACTTCTAAGAACTTCCTGGTTGGGTTATTTTGGGCACCTTGAGAGCTTCTGCATAAGGAAATTAATGATACAATACATTGACCTAATGAGTTATAAAAAGCAAGGAATGTTGTCTATTCTAGTGACCCCTAGTGCTGGACATGTGATATTACAACCAAGATTTTAAAGGATTCCTCTTCACTTTTGTCATACCTGTCTGCTCAAGCACCAAGGACAGACAGTGCAGTTACTATTATCTAGCCTGAAGCTGCCCAATAACACCCTTGCTTTACCCAAGGGAAAAACTGTTTACATAGTTCAGGACTTGAACCAGTCCTGGGGATCACTCTATAACCAAGTTCAGAACTTAAACCAGAACTGGGGATCACAGCATAACCAATCTCAAAATTTAAAAATAGTCCTGGGGATCACAGTGTGATCAAGATCAGAACTTAAAACCAGTCCTGGGAGATCACAGTATAACTATTTAACCATCCAATGGAAGAAACATAGAAATTTAGTTCATTTCAAAATTCAGCAACATTGATTGAACTGTGAAATGCACTCTACTAAGCTTTGTGCAGTATATAAATAGTCCTGCAGGTTATGGATTTATTTGAACTAGATTTCACACCCTTGCCCCCTTCACAGCAAGAAAAAAATATCCTGTCTTGGTTTCGTTAGAAATGCTCCCCCAGGATACGTTAGAATGTCCAACTCATGTTCTATGCATACTTATCCTCAGAATATAGCTTGGACATAGCTTATGTCTAGATCTGAGCTGGCAGGTATGAGTAAAAGGATCTACAGCTATTATGCATTCACTGGAGGTGATAACTGATACTGAGTACAGAAACAGAATTAATGCTACTGCATAAAAAACATACCAGGGACCCACAATATCCCATAGACAATCACCCAGTGAATTCCACTCCCCATCCCAAAAGCCCTAACTAGTCTCATAGTGTCACTCTATAATTTGTGTGCAACTTCAAGCATGACCCCCCAGTCTATATAAACCCACAGCTTGGAGCACTGGGTCTACACAAAGAAGTGTAAGAAATGGTGTCTGCCCTCGTGGAACTTACAGTCTAGAAAGAGGTGATCAGATATATGCACAAAAGACAAAAAAAAAAGCATGTGATAATTCTCCCATTGAAGTCCTCCTCCCATGTTTCACTGTGGCCTGGAGGTGACACTTGGTTCTCAAAAGCTATGCCTGCAGAGCGTAAACTCTTACAGAATCCACCAGGCTTGAAAGGTATCAAGTAAAGACAAAGCAATAGGGGGTGTGTCCAGCATCCTAGAGCCCACCTAGCTAAGTTCAGAGTGCCTTATCAGCAGAATGTTGGCCTGTAGGTGATTAACTTCTTCAGGCAACAAAAACTGTCTACTGTCTAGGCATAGAGATATTTGGTGTTTGCTGCAGGCACCATCCATATAATCACAAATTCTTACCATGTCGTGGTAAAAACTCAACAAATGCCATTAGAAAGATATGAATAAAGTTCAATGGAGTCAGTCAATACACATTTATTAAGCACTTACTATGTGCCAGGCATGCTGTTAAACACTATAGATACAAAGGCCTAAGAGGACCTATGTAAATAACCAGGTATATGCAACATATATTCAGAATAAATAGAAAGCGATTTCAGAAGGGAAAGCACGAGGGGGTGTGGGGTAGGGGTGAGGACAGCAAAGGCTTCCAGCAGAAGGTGGCTTTTAAAAAGGGTCCTGAAGAAAGGAACTAAAAGGCAGAAATAAGGAAGTGAGGCACTACACAGGCATGGAAGGCAGCTAACTCAAAAACACAGAGATTCTACATTGAGCATTGTGTGCAAGAAGACCAATATAGCTGGATCAAAGAATTCATGAAAGCAAGTAAGGTTTTAAGACTGGAAATGCAGGAAGCCACCAAGTTGTGAACAGCTTTGACAAATAAAGGTACTATTGAAACTTCTGGAATTTAGCAAGTAGGGGAATGGCATGGACACATCTACACTTTAGGAAAATCACTGGGTAGAGAATAGATTGGTATGGAAAGAGACTGAAGGCAAGGAAGAGAAGGGAGAGGGAATAAGTGTTTATTAAGTACCCACTATGTGCCGGGTACTACGCTAAGCACTTCACAAATATTATCTTATTTGATTCTCACAACAACCCTATGATGTAGGTGTTATTATTTTATCCCTATTTTACAGGTGAGAAAACTGAGGCTAGCACTTATATAGTTCTTGCTATGTGTCAGGTACTGTACTAGGTGCTTTACAAATATTATCGCATTTGATCATCTCAAAAACTCTGTAAGGTAGGTGTTATAATTTTATCCCCATTTTATAGTTGAGAAAACTCAGGCTGAAAGAGGTTAAGGGACTTGCCCAGGGTCACCTAGCTAGTAAGTATTTGAGTTCAAATTTGAACTCAGGTCTTCATGACTCCAGACCCAGTACTCTATCTCCTGTGCCAGCTAGCAGACTCTGGAAAACAACCAGCAGACTGTCACAATAATGCAGGAAGGATGTGATCAAGGATTCAAACTAGGGTGGCAGCTAGGTGAGTGAAGAAAAAGAGGAATAGAGAAATGATGT